AAAGACAGGGCGAACGGTTGACAGCTGCGGTTATACAACACATGAACAAATCACGAACGCTGATTGAGTCAGTCATGGGGGAGTTGAAAATTTCATCGAAAAAAGAAAGCAACTCATTAAGAATGTGAAGCATATCAGTGAGTTGAAATGCTTTTGAATAGTAATGCAAGTTGATTGAATAAAACCACAAAAATGAGGTGCGAGAAAAAAACGTAGAGATTCACATAGAAACCTGACGATATCTTGACCCTCTTGTTTCTACAGGCTGCGCTTAAATGAGTACCAAAAATACATTTGAATGGTTTGATTTCCTTACAATAAGAGGCTAGGGACGTGCTTCATTATTATCGGATATTGTTTGTTAATTTTACCAAAGACAACCGGAAAGATAGAGGGTCAAATTTATGAGAATATTTTGAAGTCGTTGGCTATGCACAGAGGAATGTGTTTGAATATTAGAAACTCGGGTGCATCAGTTGGTAATTGATTGGGTCGGTGTCGATCTGTTCGCCGAGCTTCGCAATTGATTTGCAAGCGTTTCGTCATCCAACAACACACTGAACACGTCTCCCCGAATGGGGACGAAACGTTTGTAAATCAATTGCGAAGCTCGGCGAACAGATCGACACCGACCCAATCAATTACCAACTGATGCACCCGAGTTTCTAATATTCAAACACATTCCAAGCACACGAGCAAACACTTGGGAGATTCTGTCCAACGCGAAATTACCGAACGGGATATCACACAAATACAAAAAATAAGGGATACAAGAGGGGAACCTGGCAAGCACTATGAATTGCGGATGGTCGAACCCAGCTAACGAGGCGCGTGTTCAAAAATGCAAACAACAGTATGTTAAGCGTGAGGTAGGTTATGGGGTTTTGGAGGAAGCATCCTAGCGAGCATCTTCTTCAGTAGCTTGCTCAAAAATTCAGTTGTCATACGAACTGGTCAGATGAAAATGGAACCCGCCGATGGCTATCGCATGATGCATAGCTTTTAGGCTATCATTATGCAGATTTGATTCAGTCTTTTGCACAAAATGACGTTGTTTAACACTATTCCAACTGAAAGAAACCAGAAATGATAATAATTTAACTCGTCCGCGGAACGTGAAGTTCATCGGACATCGCAACTACTAGGTCCAGGGTGTCACGTTGTTAGTAATAAAATTTCTGCCCAGTCCGCTGCGGATGACGAAAACAAAAAGCCTCACCGTCGTAGCAATTTGGAGAATACGTCAAATCAAGCAGGATCACCCACCATCAGAGAATCACAACAAACAACAAACGGCACTTCCCACATACATACAGACACTGTCGGTCGCCGTCCCAACTGAGTGGCAGATAAACAAGGTCAGGATCGTGAAGGGGTATAGAACAATGACACGAAGGCGACGGCGATCCAGCTGTCGGGTCGAACGACGACGTAGATAGGCAAACAGTTTGCGTGTGCACAAACGGTCACAGAGGAACCGGCAAAAACGACCGAAGAGTCATGGATGAACAAGAGGGAACGAAAAGAAGTTGTGATTTAGACAGATTAACAGAGGAATTATCTGCCCGTCTCGATACAGGCGCATTTCAGTTTAAACGATGTCATTCACGATACATTGTGGATTTCTCATCTGTGTGAGATTCGTCAGTTTTAGACGTTCGCCGAGGATGACTCGTGTTGTTTCGATTACGACTTTGCATCATATGCTTGGTACCCAATTCTCACAGTTCGTTCATGTCAATCCACTGGTTTGGTTGCTCTGACCTTATTGAGCATAAATTGCCGGACCTTTTGAGTCCAGTCTTTTTTAGTGGATGAAAACTACGAAAAACAGTAGTACATCTATCCGCGGATGAACTTCAGCGAATCCATACAATCTTTTTTCTTTCCAAATGTGAGGATGACCAGATGTCACGCGGACTAGAGTTTCAGTAACGGCCAAAATGTGGTGAAAAAAAAACTGTTTTCAGTAGTAATGCATGGGACGCCTTTGAATGATTCATACTATGACATTATAGCAGAGAACGTACATTCGATCGATTTCAGTGGCCCCATGGACTGCTATTCTACCAACTATGCATTTCTGATTTGACTTTTGTATCATCCGCCGGCGGGGAAAGTTCTTTGTCTCCCATCAGTGGGGTATATTGGAACTGATGAGAAGAATTAATACCCTGACCCGCCTCACACCACCTGCAGACAGGCCTTTCTCAAAGTTTGACAACCTGAGGAACAGACACTTTGGCTCGTTCTTTAGAAGAACTGATTATTGATAGTTATTGAGCGTCAGAGACCAGGTAATAACTGTTCAGCTGTGGCACCCCTTCGTTGCACGGATGCTGTGCAAATCAAAGGAAACACGAGGGATAAGATAGTACAAGGTAACTCAGATCCAGACAGGACCAATGGAGAAGCCTACGTTGGGTTCGAAACATTGGCCTTCTGGTCAGTAGTTTCGCACTCAAACACCATCTCTTAGCTGCATAGCTCCACCCACCAAGAAGCATCTTCAGCCGATTTCGCAGTTCTCAGTATAGTAGCACCGAAACATACAGAAGTCGAATCCCAAGAATGGATACCTTTCAGTAGCAGACGGTGTACACACAGAATATCAAGATTTTACAGAATGAATGCACGTTGTCTCCAGCTATGCACCGCCAGGTTGCAGCTGTGATCCGACCATAAATTACTTTTGTGATTATCTCGTGGCTCTTTTAAGAAATACTTTGGGAACTGACGCTGTTGTATTGGCTGAGGACCATAACGCGTGATTTGGTCGTCTGATGTCTCATGAGATGCATCTCGGGGTCTCCATGGTCTCGATTTGACTAAAAACGTCAACGGCCAACTCCTACCAATTTTGTGTGCTTATCACTGACTGCGCCCTCTCTCTAGTTCGAACTTCCTGCACCGTAAACGCCATCTTTCACTCGTCAAGGTTGAATACACAATGTGGCTATCAACTGTTAGTAGAGATGTTCTACCCAGGACGGCCGTTCTTAGCGAACGATGCACTAGAACCCCGACCAAGCGTTCCTATGCACCAAACAGTGCATGTATTTCTGTGGACAGATGACGAAAAAATTGCGGCATGTCAGCAGTCAACCATTAAAGCATCCTTGCATTGCAATATTGAAGCTAAACTAAGAAAACCCACGTCCATTGTGAAGCAGTACTCATCAATCAGACAATTTCGAGAACTCTGAAAATCCTACCATGCACTTACACTAGAGGTCACCAACAGCTCTAATTACCCACTGAGCCTTGAAAAAAGTATTCCAGACTACTATGTTTAGGAGGAAACCGGACTGCAAGATGCCAACTGTTGAGGGGGGGGGTAACAGAGATCGTAGGGAGCCCATGAAGCTGGGCAACTACTGACAGCTTTTCTATCTATTGAAGAAGGGACTGACGAGGCAATCGTTCAACTGAGATATCGGGAGTCCTCTGGTGGAAGTAGAATTTCACCTAAACTTTTGAAGTCAGGTAGCAATACTTTGCTTAGCCAGTTGACCAGTCTGGTTGAAGAAATCTGGATAAAAAAATGAGCTTCTACCTTTTGACCACAGTTAAATTACTCGAAAACGGTCCAGAAAACGAATTTCTATATCATTCGGGCATCCTTCTTATGCTAATATCGTCAAAAACAATTTCATTATCATTCTTGTAAGACTTTCTACCCCGAGCGAATTGACTTGATACGTGGAACTCGGCCATGACTTCGTACATCAGATACAGCGTTGAGAAAGCTCTTAAAACACATGCACCCACCGACAACCCACAAAATATCCGTTCCTTACATTCTCCTCAATTCACGGAACCGCTCTCTCGAGCTATTTGACCGAAGCGGACATACCAGATAAACTTGTAAATATCAGAGAACATTATATAACGAAATAGCCAGACGTGTGCGGGTTTACAACTGGTTATCATCGATGCTCCAAATCACTAGTGAATTTTGCGAGGGCTCGTCATTCCCTTTGAACTTTGTGATCAGCGGCATCTTGAGAGCCGCTCCATCGCTGGTCGATAGTACTGGCATGGATCTGCACCCAAGCATAGGAATGCAGGTATGTTAGTTTTGAATGAAGAGTTGAATGCTGTTTAATCCACTGCCGATAATCTTATTTTGTAGCCCAATGTGCATGGTGTATGGTTCCTAATTGCGAGATTCTTTTACGAAACTGGCCTGTGAGAATACCTATTGTGAAGCTCATGAACGAGGCGCACAAGACAATGAAATACTTCACGTGACAACTCTTCTGGTGTTTATGCGAATTCGTGATCGCTTCCCAACTCAGCAAGGCAAGAATAGTGTTTGTTAATCTGATATATCCACGACGGCGCTATGTCAGGAGTGCAACCGCCTCCGTCAGATCGGTACTCTCGTAAAGACATGGGCTTTGCTGAGCTTGCTTAGTCAAGGTTCACGGTGTTTTCGTAAATAAACCAGAATCGATCAATTTAGTAGATCAGCTGAACCAAGAGAAAAATTTGAGTCTTCACACCCCTGTCAGTCACGAAAATCCTTTTTCGTTTTAAATGGAACCTGCATCATACACACTGTTACTTCAGCCGGCTACGCATATACACTGAATCAAACCTCGTCGAACAGCAACTGGAAACAGGTGATTGGGCAGCTGGACTATGCTTTTCATCTGTGAATATCTGCACCCTTTCTTACAAACTACATAATCTCACAATCGTTTCCATAGCCAAGCAACCATAATTGAGTCGCAAAAGGAAGGTTGGAACAAACGCGATTGGTAGGTGGAGGGAGTTATAAGTATAACCCGGATGCATCTTCGGATCACCAATATCTAGTTTCTGCGGAAAGAATAGCCAGCAGAATCCAAGTAAGGAATATGCCGATTTTAGCTTCCATAGCTTTTAATCTCATAAACTTACAAGTAGAAGAACTTTGCTCAAACGCGTTTCAAAACACGGAGTTGAAGTGCAAAATCGTACTGAAGGAAAACGCGAATCGTAAACTGACTTACACGATGCATTCTGAATGAAACGGGGCTTGTCTTTCCACGCAATGCCGAGTACGTAGAGTGGTATGCCGATAGCCATTAGACCGATACAAATCAACGAGTTGAGCGGTGCATTGTAGATGGAAAATACTCCAATAGCAAAGTTGACGATCAGGTATAAGATGGGAAAAAACATGGGCAGCTACAAAAGGTAAGGTAAAAGAAGAGCAACCATGAGGTTAATTCAGCATGTCATAGGAAGAGAAGTTGATGGAAGTTGAAACGGGGAAATAAGCTCCACATAACTAGTATCGTCGCAGAAAAAACTATGACATCCACACAGGCCTTGACCGTTCTTCGCTCATTGATTGGTCAACAAGAACTTGTCAAGCGAAAGGATCTCCGGTGTACAAAATTTTCGCCGTACGAAGAACAGGTGTATTTCCACGCACACAGGCTGCATCCTCAAAAGTAAAAAAAAACTATGATTGGGAGTAGGTGACATTCATTTGGAGTGTATAAAAGACAAACTTGCAGACGGTACCCTTTCACATTTCAAGGAGTGACACGTAAAAAAAGGACCAGTGTTTTCCAACCCAGCATATTCACTATCGACCACGCTACCAGTGGTGCAGCCCTCAGAGTTCATTCAAAGTCTTGGTAGATTCTTTCCAGGATTTTGGTGGATTCTACAGACAATTTCACTGTAATCATCACCAAAGACAGCAAAATCAGTGCTGACCGCGATGCCTCACTGTCGTACGACCATAAAGTTTATCTAACCATATTTGAAGCCTTTGAATGAAAAGAAGAGAAAAAAGTGGGTGAGAAAGGGGACCTGGTGATGAACATCTCGAGCATTACGAGGTGCCTACACCTACAAGCTCTCAGTCAGGCAACCTGAAAAGAAACTGACAACGCGAAAGCCACTGACACCGACCAGTCGTTGTTTCAAGCCAAGCGCAGGAGAGCTCACGGGGATCTCATAGACAACTACAAATTCGGTCTTCAAAAACACTAGGTTGTGAATCCTATCGAACGGGAACAGGAACTGAGAACAGACATCTAACATAAGAGCCAGTTCTGAATAAAAATCGCACAAAAAGATTGTGGAGTGGAGTGAACAGTTCAGCGGACTCAGGCTAGCAGCTCTCAGCGAAGTTGGCCTATCTCGGTGACTATTCCGGTCACACCAACTAATTTAGACCATCTTAGCAAAGGAAACGAATTGGAACAAACGCGGCACTCGAGGAGCATGGGTTGTGAAGTACAGATAGAACTTGGAAAAATGGCATTAAGGGCACGTATATGAAGAGAAGGCTCTATGCTGAATAAAATTCGTACACAAAGAAAGGTGCCGAGCAGCAAACAATCAATTTGTCTGTATTTAGCATGGTCGGAAATGCGAGAAAAACTTACGGTGACCGCCATTAAACAAGACCAGTCGAGAGAGGCATGAATATATTGCAATGCAATATACTTCGTAGAAAACCGGAGACGAGTTTCAGATGTAAACACAAACCGTACAGAGAACGTAGTGAGGATGAAGTTGAGCATTGTTTCACACCTCGGCGATGATTTAACTCAAACTTCACTCATCTCTGAGGTGTTAAAAGTGATCGTTAAAAAGTGAGTAGTCGCTAATAGAATGAAAGTAAAACATTGGATGACCTCATTTATGTCATCATCATCGTCACATTAGGCCACTGAAAAAGATGGTTATCCGAGAAAAAAAACTACTTTTAACTTACTCCATGGGGTGGATTTAATAACACATTTCTTCCAAGAGAAAATCACCTTACCGAAGGTATCAGCTGCGGAGATCTGTGATCTCGCTGATTTGAGACATCTACTCTAGTATATTTGACTCTACCCCTGAATGTCAGTCCTACCTAACCGGGAATCAACAAACTAATGTTTTCATAAAGGAAACTGCTCACAAGGTTGCTGAAAACTCTTCGACAGCCCATGACCATCTTGGGGCTCATCAGGTAGGTGCAGTCCCCGAGTTTCCGTCAACCTTATCTTCTAATTGAACCTAAATTGCACTGTTTTCGAGAAATACACTCATTTGCAAATCAATTTGGTTTACATGCGAGACTCAACTGAATCTTTCGTTTGTGACATTCTACAACTGAATGTCCTGCACACAGGCTGCCTCGTGTTTCAGTTGGCACGATATTCGAGATATCGCAGTATATTTTCATTAAGTAAACTACTCAAAAGGTTGCTGACTGCACCGACCTGATGAGCCTCAAGAAGAGCGAAACAGGTCGTGGGCTGTCGAAAAGTTTTCAGCAACCTTGTGAGTAGTTTCCTTATGGAAATATACTACGATATCTCGAATATAGTGCCAGCTGAAACATGAGGCGGTCTGTGTGCAGCACACTCGGTTGTACAATATCATTAACGGGAGATTCAGTTGAGCCTATTGTGAAAACCAGATTGATATGCAAATGAGCGCATTTCTCGAAAACTAATGTTTATTCCTGACTGGAGGATTTGCTTGTACGGTCAAAGGTTGCAAAGTAAACCAAAAAGATGTACATTCTTAGAATAATTTACAAGCTATGTGAGGGCCCCAGAATGAAGAAAACTACTTAAAAGTGGGTGCGGTTGGTTGATATATGAAATAAACTGAAGGGCAAACGGAACTATGCGCAAAAACTGATTGTTACCGAAGGCCTCAGTGACTCAGTCACAAGACCTGCGGAGCACTGAGGACCAAACAGAAAGAGTCTCTTTTATCCTCAACTCTAAGCATCTAAGATTCACACTCCTGAAGCAGCAAGAAGCGCTGGAACATGGTCATTCTACACCAAAATTCCAATGCAGCGTTGTTTAAGAAAAAAAGCCAGTTTCAAGGACCATAGCCAACATAGTGATTTCGGAGATACAGAAGAAACAAATGCGGGGTACGGTATCCCGCAACATGAGAGGCACCTTGTCGTTAAGACAACTCAGGCGACACAAAGTTCTTTCCATTTCAGTTTGCTGCATGCAGAAAACGTTACGGAGCCGCGAAGGTGAACCTCTACGATTCCCGAGATTGCAAAATCACTCACATCCGAAAACAACCGAAAATCACTATCCTTTCAACAGGATTTACCGGATGGGCGTCACGTAAATCGGGTCGTACCAATAACATCGGTATTCTTAACCAGTCCACTGTGGACCACCCAATTCACAAGCGGCCCACTGACCCGCAACCGAGATGCATTTAGTGATGCATTTGCTGTTAATCCAAATATTTTGGAATGTGTCTCCACAAAAAGGCCATGAACGTATTTCGCTTGAGGTAAACAAGAACGCATGTATGTGGCAAAATACCGCTAGTTTGGTAGCCATGCTCAAGCAAATTTGGCCATCAAGCTAACATATTCGGTAGAGCTCCCTCAAGGTTCATGAATAAGAGGCGTTTAGGGACATGGGAAGTCTAGAATCTAGACTAGTTTGAAGTCTAGTGGGATAGGAAGTTTTAATCCGACATGTCGGTTACCTTTCTAAAGGATTTCCAGAATCAACTGAATATGAGTCAAGTATAGCGTTATTTGGGTTCACCACCATGACTTCCGAACGATATGTTCCTGAGATCAGTCACTTGTGACCAGCATCTGCGGGAGTGCCCTGGCTCTGCGTGTACGTGTGATTGTGTGTGTACTTTGGCGGAGAGGTGCCTCGGTTTGTTGTTGTGCTGGCTGTGGTGCGTCACTGTCGCGATTCCCGCGTGACCTCTGGCCGCCATGCCTACTGAGGTGTGCAGCAAGTCCAGATAGACGGGGTGCTGGCTCCAACACTACGGTTGACGTAATTAGGTTGTGTTGATCTCCCATCCCTCAGCGCACGTCTATTCCACGTGTAAACTGAATCCTGCCTGGAGTTCAAGTATGCCATCGAAATTGTTTTGATGGCATGGCTCAAGTGTATTAAGTGCATTCAATGAGCCATGTTCACGTTTTTTAAAAAGCTCTATTAAATTTCGTAGAGGAAAACGCGCATTTTGTTTGCCTTCCGTGATTCGCGCGTACTGTGCTGTCGACACAGGAAATTCAGTAGACCCAGTTTGTGCGGTATTTTAGAGTGTTATCAATTTGGAAGAATGCTTTAATATAAAAACCCCGAAGTGCTTTTGAGAGGCATTTCAAGTTCCGTTTCTATAGTGTATTCCAAAGGTTACCAACGCATTTTGTCTCGCTGTTTCTGAGCCGTTTCAGTAGATCATTTCGCATGGACTCATCCGACTATAGATTCTGGACACGGCTCACCAACGGTCCAAAACGTGGGCGTTCGACGTAATGCGGATGCGAAGACTCACATCGTAGTACCTCTCTGAATGTGCGGGTTTTTTGTGGATTCCCACTAACAAACAACTAAAGACCCAGAAAAACCAAGTGGTTTTCTGTTCACTCTCAGTTGCTACCGCGAATTTTGTTCGTTCAAGCAGTTTAAGTGGGCTTGTGAAGGTCGCAGTGATCGCAAGTATGTCGTCAACGCATCTCAGTCCGGCGCGTTGTAGACAGGCCTCAGTTTCAGCATGGTGCATCGAACATTAGCCACTATGGTTGATACTAGAGAAACTCCAGTGACACTGTCGGTATCTTAATGCACACTTTAGTAGACACAGTGGCCAGAGGTCATTCAGGAATCTCAACAATGCCGCATCACAGCCAGCACAACAACAACAAACGGAGGCACATCTCAGTCAAAGCATACACAACCAACGCTGCACTTGACTCGTATTCAATTAATTGTGGGAATCTTTAAAAAAGTTTGACCACGGTCATTCAAAATATCGGATTAGAGCACCTTATTCCACTATACTGCTTTGAATTTAAACTTTCCATATGATACAACACATGGCGGGCACTCTGTTTGGGAGGCTCCGAGTTTGGCCTGAAACACCGAAACACTGCGTGAATCCTGCAAAATCGTCATAGAATTTGCAGAAATCCTGTTCACCGTGACCAGGAATTAAGCACACCGTGTTGTAAGGCCAATATCCTTCCAACCTATTGCTTTCTCGGCTTGGTGAACATTTTTTTACCGAACGACACTCATCATTTGCACCGCCCAACAGTCAGGAGGCTGGCGAAGTGTCAACGAAGACTTGAAACCGGATAAACCACTATAGGCGACCCACAGATACCATCCATTGACCTCCAGCGCTTCCTCTTTAGCCAGCACCAACCAGGTCGCAGCACTTTCGGCGCATGTACCATCGAGACGGAGGAACCATCAGTCTCTGGGTTCTATCTCAACCTACCCTGTGCGACCAACTATGCAGCGAATGTGCATAGCTCTAGGTGAAATACCTGGTTATATTTCCACCAGTCCAGGTATGGCAATCAAACCAGCAGCCAAAAAAGTGATTGATGGCTGCATTCCACAGGATTTAACACTGAAACAACTCGAAAAACCCGATCATATTACGGCTATTGCGGGCAAATTTGGCCGAAAACAAGTAGAAACTCTGCACAATGTGCAAGCGTGAAGCTTTGAGTTCCTCCTAGATCGGAAAATCAAAGTGTCTACAAAGAAATAAATGAAGTGAAGAGGTGATCTCACACTGAACTCAGGTGGCTCTTATCCGGTTAATTCTTTCCACATTCCTCTCGGTGAATCGAGATCAGTATCGGCTCTTGTCACAGAGCAAAGCGTGGAGAATCATGAACTATCACAGATTCCTTAAATGCATATTTTGCGTTTAATTCAGATGAAGCTGTGATGTGGAAAGTTCAGCGCACACAAACACAAGCACAGCTTTGACTTCACATACTTCACCTCATTTGCCACGTGAGCTGCGCGGTATCTGCCGACATCCACAACACACTTCTTTTCCCACCAAGAGAATCAACGTCCACCCATTCCCAGTTGAAGACTTCATTAACCTACACTACATTTTGCTTGTTTGTCTCACCGTTATATCACGTTAACACTAGGTTTAGGACTTGTAAAGCTTCCGAACATAACCTAAAGTAATTTTGTGCCGGGTTAGGTCGATACCATTTTCAAAATACCCACACAGTCCAGTGACTTGTAGCGGACGTAGCAAAACATAGTAGTTCGTGTTATCAAGATTTTAACTGTTTTGACAAGGTATCATCTTTATGCAACAATTTTTGTTGACTGTTGGCTGCTGTGTTTTCCGAGGTTCAAAACTGGCTTGTACAAGTTTCATCTCCACGTGGCGAACATATCGAATGCCACCTAATCACCAGTAGTTAGATATATTACCAACACTCTTATGGCGTTCAACTCCGGCCAGGCAGTAAAGCGACACGTTCAGTCTGAATAACAGTCTTAGAAAGGCATTACAGAGATCCTTCTTGAGATGAATTAGTGTCTGTCTCCATCATGGTTATGCAAAATGGTCGAACACCTGGAAGATACGCTACGGGCGGCAGTTTGACGCCTGGATTACACACGAGCAGATAAGTTTCCATGAGCACTTTGAGAGGGTGTGGAAGAAAGTTCATTTGGGGCAAAACTTACAGTCGGAAACAGTCGCTCCGTGGCGCAGTTTTGATGATCCTGAAGGGCATTTTCTCATCGCAAGAGTGTTGTATTGATATACGCAAATCATTCGGTAGCTTCTACCACATCGATTATAGCACGATTGAGATAAGTGACATAGGGATATGAGCTGCTGGTTCCTGTGATTAAATGGGACTACTTGGCATCATCATTGACAGCATGACATCAGTGTTCAATACCGATGCTTCACTGCCGACCACTTGGAATTGATGGAGTTGACAAATCTTAGGGTAGAGTGATCAGCTCAAATAAGTCGTACTCTCCAAACAACAGTGCACAACAAGTCGATAAGGATGGCATCAAAACTCTTTCGAAAAGCTCCTTTCCTCCACTAATGACGACGGATATACATCTAGTCAGTGAAGTTTGAAGTATATAATGCCGACCTTCAGTTATTCTTAACTCCCCATCGAATACAGCGTCAGTGATTCTCTAAAACTGAAAATCTGGTCATCTGGCTGCTTTCGCGAACAGCAATTCTACCGATGGAGTTCATCACACAAAAAATAATTTCCCGATACATCAAGAAGAGTTGTTTTCTCAGACTCATTGCTTTCCGTGTTAAAGTAAAAAGAGGGAACACCATGCCTGGTCTTCAGGGTCTTTGTTGTACACAACCCAGTTGCCATGGTGAATCAGTTAAAGTCTTTAAATGACCGACCATCTACTCCAGAATAATCTAACATCATCTGCCATTATGCAGGATCCCAAGAAAGCAAACTGTGGTTTGTATTGGATGAAACCCTATGATCAAAAGATTCAATCTCGTAACAAAGAATACCTAAAAAACAAGTAGTCTGTGTTCGCAGTCTGGGAGGAAATCGCAAAGGCAACGGAGTTCCACTTCGCTGAGATGCAAGGATATCACCACCATGAGAAAAGTGACATCAAACCATCAACTTAATAATGTACGGAAATCCAGGATACGATCACTTAGTTCCACAGCGAATATTCAATCCAACTCTGTAGTTCTATCGAAGGAGTTCCACATACGCACATGATAAAATTTTACAGTTTCTTTAAAAAGTTCCGAGATTTCAGTGTAATCATTAGAACAAAGGCTCTGGGTCACGACAATATGCCTGGCTTGGTCTAATTCACGAAAAAAATGCACGATGGTAGCTGAGCATCGTGTCCACAGTAGCGTACACTTCACATCGACAGCTGTATTCAATAGGCATACTTTCTGGTGACCAACTTACTTTAAACTTGGTTTGGTTCAAGCCTGGATTCGTCCGTTTGATGTGAATCAAACTACACACTGCAATAGCGGAGACGACTGTAAAGGCTAGGCCGGTGAATTCGATCAACACGTACAAATCAGGAGAGAATTGGAAGAAAATGGAGAGGAGAACCTGCGATTGAGAGATGTAAAAAGAAAGGTAAATAATCTGATCGCAAAAAATTCACTAACTAGTTGTTGATCTTTAGTTGTACTTAGATAGTTTCAGCTTATTAGGCACGGTGTATTGTACCTGTCTGGTGTAAATTCGTGAGCCATTCGCCTCTCCTTCAGCGGCAATCCTTAAGGGAGGGTGGGCTATTCGTGTATATCCAAAGAATTCACCAATAGAATTTCCACGACGGTGAGTGGCACCGAGCCATGGAGTTTTGAACTGGTGTACCCGGGCAATTTTATACTCAAGGCTATTGTTCTGCACAGCGACTTTTCACTAATACCACCTGTCACCCATCAGTCCAATTGCCGACCGATGTGCTTCTTGAAGCTCAAGTGTCTTAACTGCATTCTATGCTGTTCCTATAAGTGACACCATTGTTGTAGGGTAAGTATATAAACAAACTGAAGCAAGGCGATTACATCGTAACATTAATATTTCCCAATTAACTGGACTAGCGACAAATGGGTGAAAAAAACACTGCCATACGAACTAAATGAAAATGGTCAGAGAAGGGGAACAAGTTATCCGCAATGGGAGACTCAGGGAAAATGAAGGAAATAACATTGCGTAGTTATCTTCCAACTTAAGAGTCGACTCGCTTTCCACGCAGAGGACACAGCTCATAACCGTGAATTCGACACCTTCGGCGAGAACACTAATAAGAACAGCCACTCGTGTTTCAGACACAGCCTCAAATATTTGTCTGCGAAAGTGAGATCGTACGGGTGAATAAAGATCATGAAGGCACCCAAGGGAAGAAAGACGGGAGAATGCCCACCACGAAATAATATACCCAGCTTGGCTGTGGGCCTTAGCTTGCTTACTAGTGGACAGGAAACGGCTGGGGCAAATGTGAGGACAAAGGGAACTGCGAAAGCAACTAACAGATTGCGCGTATATATATATATAATATATATATCTGACAAACCGAATCAGTGAAGCTCCATACATCTTTTGGTGAGTTCAAGCTCACCGCGACTGCCGTAGTTGTAAACTGAGTTCATTCACGACAGTACGCCTGTCACCTCTTGAGCATAAGCCCACAAATCTTCCCATATCATTAATCAGGAACAAGTGTTTCAAAAGGTAAAACTAGCTAGACAGGTAAGAGAACATATTCAGGAATTTGAAAAACCTATGTATGTGGACTCAGTTCACGGCAGAGAGGCTATATAGAGAGCTTTCAGTGACATCATGTCATCTGACTTATTGCGGTCTTTGTAGACGAATCTATGTGTGAAAACTCCGATGCAACGATGGTGCAACTGAGGATGCGTGACTCCTAGAGAAAAATTAGTAGAGTTGTTAGCTATTCTGAAGCCTGCACAGATCATTTAGCAGTAAACCATTATGTGACCCAATTGAATACAACTAATGATTGTATCATCAAGCAGAACATGGATATCTAAACAAAGTTTATCGACTGGCCAACTGGTCGCCTGCTGTGTAAAAGCGATATTAGCAGAGGAAAGTTCCACCCAGCAAACTTAATAAACTAGGGAAAGACGTACAAATAAGTGAAGGGGATCCTGTGGAAATCGGGTAAAAAATGTCTATTTACAGGATGAATTGATGATGATGTGAGGAGATTTGGTAATTTTTAAATAGAGATTTCGTCCTACCAGAATGAAGCCAGTCTACCAAATCTCCTCACATCACCATCAATCAATAATTATCTCAGAGGAAGAATAATTTCGTAAGATGTATGGAACCTACTTCTGAGAACTCGTCGGTCAAGCAACTAGTCAAAAGATGACCTCT